TTGATTAATCAATTTGATTAACCAAACAAATTAATTAACAAGAACATTCACATCAAAACTAAGCATTCAACATCATTTAATCATAATAAGACAGATTGTCATACGATACTATTAGATGAATCAATCAATTATTTTATATATATACACATATAACATAATCTCTGTCGGGGTTTGATTAATGTTGAGGAATAAGAAGGAGGAGGAGGAGGAGGAAGGGGAAGGAGGAGGAGAAAAAAATAAAAAACTGTAGTCAAATGTTCGTTTTTCTCGCTTGGCTCACTTCTTCGCTTCGTCACCTAGGCTCACTTTTTCCTCACTTCGCCTAGGATGTTCAAGAGGACCAAGGCTCACTTCGCTTCTTGCCTAGGCGTTCGCCTAGGCTCGCTTTTCACAACACTATGGTTCATGGCATTTGTAAGCTTATGAAACTAAAAACCTTAATGGGAGACTTAGGTTTCTCTACCAGTGAACCTACGTGCCAATATTGTGATAATAAGATTCTTATAAATATTGCTCGTAACCTAGTTCAGTATGACTAAACAAAACATATTGAAATTGACAAGCACACCATTAAAGAGAAATTGAATGTTGGGTTGATTTGTTTGCCCTTTGTGACATCCAAGGAACAATTGGCGGATGCATTTACTAAAGGGCTTAGTAATACAATTTTTCATTCAGATGTATGCATGTAGAGCATGAAAGATGTCTATTCTTAGTAATACAATTTTTCATTCAGATGTATGCATGTAGAGCATGAAAGATGTATATTCTTCAATTTGAGAGAGTGAAAAATGTTATGTTATTTTAATTAAGGGTATTATTCTAATTTGTAGCTTATTATAAATTAATATAAATAAGGGTAATGAGAGGCGAGATTAGTTAACTCTCATACTCCTTAACCCTAATTATAGTTTATCTTCCTTCTTCTCTTCTTTTTTCCTTTCTTGCCTCTCCTCAACTCTAAACCCTTAAGAAGAAAATTATTAACAAATTAGAGTTGGAGAGAGGAATGTTTTTTGAATAGGAACAAATCCAGAGAGAAATTGTGGGTTTTTTTCTTAGTTATATTCAGCGTTAGATGGCTGTTGGTATAGATTAGTTGATAAGAGAGATAGTTTTGAGTGTTAGTAGAGAAAAAGCACTAGGGCCGGATGGTTATACTATGGCTCTTTTTCACCAGTGTTGGGAGGTGGTGAAAGAAGAGTTGATGAAGTGTTTACATATTTTTTTCAACATGGCGTGATGAAGTGTTTACATATTTTTTTCAACATGGCGTGGTTAAGGATATAATAAATGCCACCTTTATTTGTCTAATTCCAAAAAAGGAAAGTCGCATAGGATCAAGGATTTAGGCCGATTAGCCTTGTTATAAATCTTTATAAATATTATAGCAAAAGCTCTGTCAGAAAGGCTAATGGAGAGCTTAAGTGATACTATTTTAAGGTTTCAATGGGCTTTTATTAAGGGGAGATAGATTATGGATGTAGCTTTGATTGCAAATGAGGTGGTTGAAGATTATAGAGCTAGATAAGATGAGGGAATCATGTTGAAGATTGACTTTAAGAAGTCTTATGATCATGTGGATTGGAATTTCTTGAATTTTATATTGGAAATGAAGGGATATGGGAAGCAACGGAAGAAATGGATTAGTAGTTGCCTGAAGTCTATTGATCTTTTCTGTGATTCTAGATGGAAAGTGTATGGAAAAGCTTAAGGCATCTAGGGGCTTAGAAAAAGGGATTCATTATCACTTTTTTCGTTTACTATGGTTGTGGATAGATTGAGTAGGCTAATAATGAAGGCAGAAAGTTGTAATTTGGAAAAAGGTTTTGTTGTTGGTAGAGATAGGGTCTTAGCGTCACATTTATAGTTTATAGGTGATACCATATTTTTCTCCTCTAGAGATGAATAGAAACTTTTGGATCTTAGGGGACGTTTGGTAAAGTTTTTGTCTTCGCGTCTTGAAAAAAATTAAAAACAGAGATAATTTTTGTCTCTGTTTTGTAATAAACACTAAAACAAAAAACATGTTTGGGAGTCATTTTTGTCTATCAAATTATGAGAATAAAAACAAAAAATATGTTTGGTATCCACTTCAAATTTTATCCAAAATATGTTTGATATCTATTTGGTAATTAATCCGAAATGACAATTCAACAATCCCAAATAGAAATTCTATCAGTTACAAATAACAATTTAATCCAAATAATAATTCAATCAATCCTAAATGATTCAACACAACACATACACACACACAAAACAAATACCAAACAAACACTATACACACGCACAAATCAGTGGATATATATATGCACGGAGAGAGGAGGCAACGATGGAGGTGGCAATTCGTCTAGAGGCAGTGATGGAGGTGGTGATTCGTCTAGAGGTGGCGATCTGTGCATATATATGCACAACTTATGGGTTTGACACAGAAGAGGGAGAGAGGAAGGCAGCAATTGAAGTGGGTTTACATCTTCTGGGTTTCATAAAGAGAAAGGAGAGAAGAGGCAGTGATGGAGGCAAGTGGTCTGATACAGAGAAAGAAGATATGAGGGAGGGAGAGAGGAGATAGAGAGAGAGAAGCGATGGGGAAGAGATAGGGGTGAAATGGGTTTTTGCTCTTAACAACAAAAAAAATGGCTTGTTTTGCTGTTAAGAGGAGTCGAAGTCCGAATCTCATTAATTCCCACCCTTGTTTGCGCGTGTTGCCTCCGTTTTTGGTGTTTCTTGAAATATCTTTTTTTTGTTCACATTTTTTTGTCTTTGTTTCCAAAAAACTAATATAAAACAAAAACAAAAACAGTACCCAAACATATTTTTGTTTCATTTTTGACAAAAATTAAAAACAAAACCACAAAACACAAGACAAAAACAGTTACCAAACAACCCCTCAGAAATTTGTTGATGTTTTATGTGTGATGTTTGAGTTTAAGGTTAATGTGGATAATAGTTTGGTAGTGGGAATTAATTCTAGTCAAGAGGAGATTTCTAGGTTAGATGGTGGCCCCTTAAGTATTTGGGGCTGCCCTTAGGTGGTAACCCTTTATCTTTAGGTTTTGGGATCTGATAATTGAGAAAATTGGGAAGAGGTTGGATGGATGGAAGAAAGCATTTATATCTATAAGGGAGACACTCACATGAGTCCAATCAGAATTGGCAAGTATTCACATCTACTTCTTATCTCTTTCCAAAATGCCTGGATTAGCAGTGAGGGAAGATTTCAGGGATGATGAGAGATTTCTTGTGGGAAGGTAATGGTGAAAGTAAAAAGGATCACTTGATTTGTTGGGATCTTGTGTCGAGAACTAGAGTTAAGTGTAAGGTCCGTAAGATCAAAATTTTTGTTTCAGTGTATTATTTCAATCACCTAAGAAACGAAAACATTTTAACTCATTTCGACTAATTTCGGAAACACAATAAAAATGAATAAAAAAATTAAGAATTATTTTTTCAAAATATTAGTCAAAATATACTAAAGCATCTTAAAACACCTTGAAACATTCTGAAAAAAATGTGTAAATCCGTCTAAACATTACGTAACACCTTGAAATATTATGAAATCCCTGAAAGTATTAGAATTTTGATTTCTTCACTAATTCATTTCAGTCCCCTTGAAAATAAATACATTTTGGTTGGTTTTGAAACAAAATTTTAATCTTCGGTGGTGGGCAATTTGATAGCTAGAAATATTGCTCTAATTGGCAAATGGCTTTGGAGGTTCCGTTGAAGCAAAACTCCTTGTGGCATTTGATTATTAGAAACAAGAATGGCAAAATTCGTTGTGGCATTTGATTATTAGAAGCAAGTATGGCATACAAGCGAATAAATGGGTTGCTAATGAAGTTAAAAGGGGTAGTTTTCCAAACCCATGAAAATTTATTTCTCAGTGATTACCTTTCTTTTCTCAAGGGATTAAATTTGTTGTGGGTAATGGAGAGAGTGTGTTTTTTGGGAGGACTATTGGAGTGAGAGTCATTGTTAGATTGTTCATTTCCTCGGCTTTATTGCCTTTCATTTATCATCATGCCCATGTTTCTTCAATGGTTAAGACCAATTCTAATCCGATGTTTTTGAATTTTGGTTTCGTAGGAGTCTTAATGATAGGGACACTTTGGAATTTGTCTCACTTTTTTATTTGCTTTGTAATCAACTCTACATCAAGAGTCAATGGATAGAAGAAGTTAGGTCAATGACTAAACGAGTTTGTTCTCTTGCAAATCCAATTTTGATTCCTTGATGACACTACTTTCCCATCTTTTATCCATATTTGAAAATTTGGATGACTAAGGTGCCTTTGAAAGTGCAAGCTTGTGCCTGGGTCATTGAACATGGAAAGAATTGGTTGATGCTACTAATGATGTGGTCAATATTTAGTTTAAGTCCATCATATTTTTGTTATGTGATACATGATTATTTTAAATCATACTAATTAGCTAGGGTTTGGTCATTCCGAGAAATGGTGGGTGTGACCAGTGTTGTGAAAAGCTAGGCGATGGTCTCACCTTGAACAACCCAGGCAAAGTGAACATGACTGAAGAGATGGAAAAGTGAGAAAAGCGACGCCTTAGTTAAGTTTTTAAAGTTGTTTTATTTTTTTATTATGGACTGTTAGATTATTTTATTTTTATTATGGACCATTGGATTTGGACAACTGGAACAAAATTGTGAGATACCCATGCACCCAATTGTCCCTTTATCCCAATATATACAACACCCAAAACCTAATTTTGCCTAAAAGGCCAGATGATTGCTGCTCCTTCCTCGCTACTCCATCCTAAAGAAGTCATAGGTTTGCCTCCTCTCTTCTTCTTTTGAGTCTTCTTCTACTTCTTCGACAGAAGGCTTTGCATCTGCTACTTCTATCTTCTTCTTCAATAGAAAACACCACACACAGGTATGTTCTTTGTTATTTTCTCTCCTCCTTCACCTCTTCTCTTCTTCTTCTACTTTTTCAAGTCTTCTTTTTCTTCTTCTATAGAAAATACAAGTACCTATTGCTTCTATCTTCTTCTTCGACAACAGAAGTATGTTCTCTTCTCTCCTCTCCTTTCCTCTTCTCTTCTTGTGCAGATTCTTATTCTCTTCTTGTGTTGCTTCCTATCTCTTTCTTCTCCTCTTCTGCTTCTAGTTCTAGTTCTGCTTCTCTGCTTCTGCATGTTCTTCTCTTCTTCTGGTTTTGTTTCTTCTTCGCTGCTTTTGTTTCTCAGCTTCTGCTTCTTCTTCTTTTTTTCTACTTTTGCTTTTGCTTCCCTGATTTTGCTTCTTCTCTGATTCTGATTCTGCTTCTCTATTCCTGCTTGATGCTGATTTTCTGCTTAATGCTTATTCTGCTTTTTTTTGCTTCTAATTTGATGTTGATGCTGCTTAATGTTGATTTTGTTCATTCTACTTTTGAGGGTGTAAATCGTAAATTACCCACAAAAAAAAGAAAACCGGGTGAGGACAACTAAAGTTGTCTTTATATATAGCCAAGTTTCACAAGAAAATATTCATTGCAACCGTGACACCACGTCATCACCACCACATGGTGTCACCATCCAATTAGATGACAACAAATAGGTAAAGTGGATTCCACTAATCCTGTGTGTTACCGATTGGATGTGGTGGTTACGGATAGTTATGAATATAGGGGAGTTCACTTTACCATTTTCTAATCTATTAATTGGATGGTGACACCACATAACAGTGATGACGCGGTGTCACTGTTGCATTGAATATTTACTCCACAAACAGACACTCCCTCTCACTCTCACACCCAACCCCACATGCAGGACAGACAAATTTTATATAAATTCCACTTATCATATTTTTCTACTACTTCATGCAAAATAACTATTACAACAAAAAATCACCGAATAACACCAATTTAACATCTGAATTTACATTCAAGAAATTTTTACCTCAGGCAAATCTGAGAGATTGATCAAGCAGAGACTGGCCGACGTGGCATTGCTTGAACAGATAGCAAAATTGACCCCACCGTCTTTTGTAGTAGCACCAGACGGCGTCGGATAACCACTAAACACCTGTAAACGACGTAGTGTTTTCGGGGGCTTCTCCACCACTGCTGTCTCCGTTTCCACTCCTCCATCGCTTGCATTTACCACCGCTAAAGAGTTCATTTTTCCAAAAATTTTCAAATATCCTTTCACAAAACCTAAATTTGAACTACTTTTCTGGTTTGCTTTAGAAAATTGACTCTTTTGAGCAGTGAACTTTGGAATACATTTAAAATTTGGGGAACACTTAACTAACTCCATTTAGTAAAGAGAAATTAACACGGGATGTGTGCGTGTGTATGGGTGTGTGTGTGTGTGTGTGTGTGTGCGTGTGTGTGCGTGTGTGTGTGTGTGTGTGTGAGAGAGAGAGAGAGAGAGAGAGAGAGAGGGCGTGTTGAGTTTAATAGGGTTAGAACGAAGAGAGCTGAAATTAGAGCAAGAAAATGAGAGCTGGGGGTGTTTCAGAGAGAGGAGTGATCTGGTATATGTGGTTTTGGTTACTCGGGTGGAATGCATGAAGGGGGCGTTTAGGTTACCCGGTAGTGCACAGTTTTTTCTGAAAACTTTTGATGAAGTCGATGTGAAAATATATCACTAGATCCTCGTTTTAACCCTATTTCACTGCCTAATTTTTTTTCAATGAGTAAACCACGTGTTAAGGCATCTAGTATTAGTAACACTAAAAATGGTTTGTCTATAGGCGCTGTCCACACAAATAGAAAATCACTATTTAAAATGAATTGAATTGATATATAGATTCTAAATTTGATTTTTGTTTCAATTAACCTGAAAATCCTTGTTAAGACTTTTAATTTTAGAGGTTGAAACCGATATTTCGAATAAGGTGAGAACAATTATTTTTGATGATACCCAGAATATATTCTAAGTTTGAGCTCAGGCACGGAGGTCAGTCATGGAGGTCAAGCAAACACCCTGAGCTCAGGAGACCAGACCTCGAGCTCCCTTTGAAGGGAATAATAAATGAAGAGAGAGGGAGACAACTGGCCAACAAAAAGAACCTCCAAAATAATAGAAAGTTGTCGTCAAGGCGCAAAACTCTCAATTAGCCGAGATCTTAGATGACACAATGTGACCTAAGACAATGCCCTGTGTTGTCATGAAATGGTATTCCTCCCAATTAAGGACCAGATTGGCTTCCTGACACCTTATCAATACCTTTTCTAGGTTGGCCAGACACAAATCAAATGAGTCACCATAAATAGAGAAGTCATCCATGAATACTTTCAAAAAAATTTCGACCATGTCACTGAACAAGCTTAGCATGCATCTTTGGAATGTTGCAGGAGCGTTACAATGTCCGAATGACATCATTTTGAATGCAAAAGTACCAAAGGGGCATGTGAATGTGATTTTCTCTTGATCATTGAGTGCTATCTTAATTTAATTGTACCCGGAATACCCATCCAAGAAACTGTGAAATTCATGGCCTGTAATTCTCTCAAGAACCTGGTTAAGAAAGGGAATAGGAAAATGGTCTTTCCGAGTCACCAAATTGAGTTTTTGATAATCAATATACATCTGCCATCCTGTGACGACTCGAGTTGTTACTAGTTCATTGGCTTCATTCTTGACCACTGTGACCCAGACTTCATGGGCACAACTTGGGTTGGACTAACCCATTTGCTATCAGAGATGGGAAAGATTATTCCTGCATCTAAGAGCTTTAGTACCTCAGTTGTCACTACTTCCTTCATGTGAGGGTTCAGTTGTCTCTGCATTTGACGAGAGGGTTTTGAATGTGTTTCCAAGTATATAACATGATTGCAGATTAATGGGTTTATACCTTTTAAGTCAGCGATGGTCCATCCAATGGGTGCTTTTATGGCTTTTAAGAATTTCAATCAGTTTAGATTCTTGTAAGTCTGTGAGCTTAGATGAAATTACCATTGGGTATGACTCGTCCTCTCCTAGGAATGCATGTTTGAGGTTAGATGAGAGAAGTTTCAATTCAGGCATTGGTGGCTTGACACTTGATGAGAGTGGCTTTGTGCCACTTAGTGAAAGTTCCTCGAATTTGGGAGCCCATGTATCAACAACATGAGTTGGTCAATTCTTTGGATCATCATCTATTGTCTCAGATGTGATGGATTCTGACAGAGAGGATTCAGTGGAATTTTCACAAAATGTATTATTTAGATGGTCTTGAACTAACGACTCAATGGAATTTATTTCTCTTTCTTCTTTATCCTCTCCTGGGTGTTTGGCAATATTGAAAATATTTAGCTCAAGAGTCATATTTCCAAAGGTTAATTTCATGAACCCATTTCTGCAATTGATTAGAGCATTTGAAGTTGCTAGGAAAGGTCAACCAAGAATAACGGGAATTGGGTTCTTTGAATGGTTTGCTGGCTGAGTATCTAGAATGATGAAGTCAACACGGAAGACAAAATTGTCTACTTGGACAAGTAAATCTTCAACAATGCCCCTAGGGACTTTGATAGATCTATCTGCCAATTGGAGTGTAACACTGGTAGGTTTGAGTTCACCTAGACCTAATTGCAGGTAAACAGAGAATGAGAGCAAATTGACACTTGCTCCAAGGTCTAACAATGCTTGTTCAATTCTGAAGTTTTCAATGACACATGACATGGTTGGACACCTAGGGTATTTGTATTTTGGAGGGGTTTTGTGTTGAAGCAAGGCACTGACATACTCTATCAAGAAAACTCTCTTGTGGACATTCTGACTTCTCTTGACTGTGCACAAGTTTTTTAGAAACTTGGCATAAGACGGGACTTGTTTGATTGCATCCAGAAGTGGGAGGTTGATCTTTACTTGCTTTAAGAGCTCGTAAATTTCTAGCTGATTATTCAACTTTATACAGTTTTGAGTCTATGAGGAAAAAGAGCAGGAATAGGACAAGAGGGTCCCTTTTCTTCTGATGGTTCTGGGTCTTGCTCAATTGTAAGTTTAGGTTCTTCCTCAATTACCAGTTTAGGCTCAACTGGTGAGTTAACTGGGATTGACTCAGGTTTTGGCTTGGGAGTTAGCATGTCCCTAATGGTCTCATCAATCACCTTGCCACTCCTCAGTGTAGTGACAACTTGGGCTTGGTCTTATAGAGTTTCCATGAATGTAGGATTTCCCACCTGGAATTGGTCTTGTGGTGATTTTGGTTGGACAAGAAGCTTACCCTTCTCATGTGTGGTCATGGATTGGGTTAATCTTTGGATATGATTTTTGAGATCCTCGAAAGATTGAGTGGTCTGAGTTTTGAATTCAGTAAAAGCCTGAGTGGAACTATTGTTATAGTTTATTTGGCTGTACATAAACTTATTCAGAGTATCCTCAAGGCTCCTCTTTTGTGGTGGTTGGTATGGTTGGTATGCGGGAGGTCCTTGAGGTGGAGGTTGTGAACCTTGTTGTTGGTTCATGGGAGTTGGTTGTGTGTTTCTCCAACTGAAGTTTGGGTGGTTCTACCACCCTGGATTGTATGTTTCAGAGTATGGGTTGGAGTAAGGCTTGTTGAAGTTGGAAATGACATTTGTTTGCTCTAACAAAACCTCTTTGAATGCCAGAATGGTTGGACACTCTCCAGTAAAGTGTCCTGTCAGTGCACAAATCCCACACACTTTTTCTGTGGGAGGGCCAACATCAACTTGATGAACCTTTTTCATCTCTAAAGCTTCAAGCTTTCGAGATAGGGTGGACATTTTTGCTATTAGGTCATCATTATCTCTCAAGATATACTAACCCCCTTGGGAAGTGGATGGTTTAGCTTCAACAATGGTAGGGGAGGCTGAGTCTCACATCTGAGAACTGTCAGATATGGTATCGAAAAAATTGAATCCCTCCTCTGGACTCTTGCTCATAAACTCTTCTTGAGCCATCATTTCGACAAACTGACGTAATCTAATGGGCAAGGAGTCATAGAAAAATCCTACCAAAGTCCAGTTCTCAAAAGCATGGTGCGGACAAGACTGGAGAAGGTCTTTGAATCTCTCCCAAATTTGGTAAAAAATTTCTCTTTCTTTGACCAAAAAATTCATGATTTGCCTTTTCAGTGCATTAGTGCGGTGTAGAGGAAAAAACTATAAAAAATTTATTTTGTAGTGCTGGCCAGTCAGGTATTGAAAGAGTTTTTAAAGAATTTAGCCATTGCTTAGCTTTATCCTTTAGAGAAAATGAAAAAAAGTTTCATTTTGGCTAGCTCAAAATTATCTTGAAAGGTTCCACATACTTCCTCAAACTCTTTTATGTGCAGGTATAGTTTTTCTGTTTCGAGTCCATGGAATTGAGAGGGTAGTTGAACTGTCCCCATCTTTAGAGTAAAGAGGGGTGCATCTTCAGGAAAGATAAAACAAGAGGGGACACTATTTCTTGTAGGATTTAAGTAATCTTGTAAAGTTTGAATGTTAGGCACTTCTCCTTCTCCCAGAGTAACTTCTCCTTATCTTTCATTATTTGCCATTCTACTTTCACAAGAGTCTGCTACTGATCTAGGTGAAGGTGGTTCAAGTTGATTCACAGACCCAGACGATTCTGCTGGTAAATTTTGATAGTGAGGAGCGTCCTCAGACATAAAAACAATGAAGAAAAATTTATACACAGTAAAGCAAATATATATACAAAAAGGAATGTCTTCTTGCCTCTTACTTTAAAACACCTTTTATGGTTCCCTGGCAACAGCGCCAAAAACTTGACTTGTTTCGAAATATGTACACCCAAGTGCAAGCGGTAAAGTTGTAGTAATAATCTGGTTAAGTTCGGAATCGAATCCACAGGGAACTATAATGAGTGTTTTGAAGTAGCAGTGATAGAGATTAAGTAACTGGAAACCTTAAGAGTTTGAATTTATGGGATTTCTTTGAATATAATAGAAGATTCTTTCCAAGAGTTTTCTTGACAAAATATAAGATAAATTTAATTGTAAAACAGTCACCCTTTAGCTTGAGGATCAGAACATGTAGTTGATCATCTGATTTATTATACTTGTGTTTTATAATTCAATTAACTCCCGTGTCAACAACAAGTTAATCGGAAGATGAAGATGGACTATGAGAATTAAGCACATTATTCCGATGCCTTTGTAGAAGTTTACAAGAATTATCCGTGCTGAGATTTAACCCGTCTACAAACAAGCAAGTGTTTCTACAAGGCATCCAACCATGACATTAATGTTCCATTCTTTAGATAAAGCACAATAATAGTGAAGATTGAAATGTTGTCATGAAAATCTAGCCGGGGTACTTGCCTTAAACCAACGGGTCTTTCCATGCAAGAGTCATCCGTGACATAGAAAGAACCCATGGTTATACAAAGTACCTTAGCTTTTCTAGGTACATTCAATCATTCAATGAGCAAGT